TCTTCAGTCGAAAAGAAATTAATGTTTTTGATGAAAACATTCCTGGATTTTTCTCCATATAATGGACTTCAATGGTAGCCAAACGGTTCAAGGTCTAAATGACCGTTTCAGTTCAGCTTCAAAGGGCTTTAAACGATACCAGACGATGAATAAGGGTCTTATTTAGGGAAACGATCGGTCATTTCAAAAATAAATAAAAAAGTTAAAGTTTTATAGGCACAAATGCTCGCCTTGCGAACTCTCCTGTTCGAACTCGTTCATCAAAATGAACGAATCTTTTTTCGAGTCATTGACTCGTTCATCAAAATGAACGAATCTTTTTTCGAGTCATTGACTCGAAAAAAGATTCGTTGATTTTGATGAACGAGTTCGAACAGGAGAGTTCGCAAGGCGAGCATTTGTGCCTATAAAACTTTAACTTTTTTATTTATTTTTGAAATGACCGATCGTTTCTCTAAATAAGACCCTTATTCATCGTCTGGTATCGTTTAAAGCCCTTTGAAGCTGCACTGAAACAGAGACTATTTATATAGAGACATGCCACTTCCCCAATCCTTAATACAACTATATAGGGAAAACCCGTAACGCCAAAGATGGCGGTTGTATGCACATGCCCCGCCCCTCCTGCTGGAAAGCCAATCGTCTGCTTTTAACAGTCAAACCGGAAAACTTTTAAGCCTATCGTCTGGTTCCACCGACGCATGCGCACAGTTGAGGTTTGCGACAGCGCAAAATATGTTACTGTTTGAAAAGGCGGCAGATTTGATGTGTTAGTTGTGTAAATATCAGACATCCCAAGTCTCCCGGAAGTTCCGGGAGTCTCCCGCAGATTGATAGCGGCTCCCTGATGACCGCAAATTAGTTCAAATCTCCCGGAATCTAGAGCGAGCGAGCAGTAGCGCGCGCACGACAGAGAGCGAGAGAACCCTTGCGCATGCGCAGTAAAAGTATAACCTGTGGGGAAAAAGGCGTTTTAAACCTTATTTTGGGGCAAAGTCATCACACTTTTTCAGCGATTTTTATCATATTTTATTAGTGTTTGTATACATGCAGTTTTTATGTCCCGGTGACCAGTGAAAGTGCAGTTCTGGGTCTCTGCCCATTCATTTAGATAAGAGCCTGGTCTTGTTAGTCCGAAATAGCTGCCCGGAGGAGTTGCCAAGATGGCGGCCGAGTGGCATGACTTGTCTAAAAGGACTTTGACTGAAACGGTCATTTAGACCTTGAACCGTTTGGTGCCCAGCAAAGTGCATTATATGGAGAAAAATCCTGGAATGTTTTCATCAAAAACCTTAATTTCTTTTCGACTGAAGAAAGAAAGACATGGACATCTTGGATGACATGGGGGTGAGTAAATTATCAGCAAAAGTTTTTTTTAAAGTGAACTAATCCTTTAATTGGCGTGCAAGTAGTTTTTGGGGTTTATCACCTATTTCAAACTGCCTTTGCCTACATGAGTTGTCTTGAAATATTCTTAGACATCTAAAAGTCATGATCCGTGTGATGCAAAGCTCTCCAACAATCGATTAGATTTAACTTTTGCATGTAATTGCTTAGTACACCAGCCGATTTATTTGTTGTGGTTCGGCGGGGATGCGTGTCTATAACCTAGCATTTAACACGCAATTGTAATCACCTGCTATGATGACTCGTGAATGCATAAAGTCAGGTATGATTTTAGACATTTTCAAAAAATGAAGGGTCATCGAAGTTAGGACCATACAAATTCACTAAAGTGATGGATAATGAATTTATCTCCCCACACACAACTAAGTACCTGCCATTCCTATCCCTAATTGTTTGCTTATGTATAAAGGGGACCGATTTCTTAATGATAATTGCTACTCCTCTAGTTTTAGTAAAGAAATTTGACTGGTAGACCTGAGACTTAATCCATGGAGCCTTAATGCTAAACTTCGCTGTACTTTTGATATGCGTTTCTTGAAGGAAAACTATCTCCGCATCCAATTTCTTAAGATGCGCATAAACCTTTCCTCTTTTAACTGGACTATTAATTCCACGCACATTCAAACTTAATAAATTCAGTGTCCCGCCACCGCGAGCTCTCACTCCGTTACTCAGTATATGAAATAAAACGTGTTTTGCCTAAACACCTTAAATAAAAACTGTGCATTAAACCTTCCAACTTAAAACATGTAACCTTCCAATGAAATTGAACATTACAAACCTTGTGAATTAAAGCAGATCCCCCCTCCCAACCCACCCCCGACCCACTACTGCATCCCATTCCCACACGAACATTATGGATGCCCACCCCTAAGAAAATAACATTTGCATCTGTCAACTCACCCTCGATGCCACCTGGCATTCTTCCGTTAATATAGCCCACCACTCATCTTACCAAATACAACAAAAACGATACCTTGTAGTCTTTTCAATATATCAAATGGAATTATTTAAACACAAGTCTCTTCTGACTCCGCTGTCCAACGTAATTAGCAAATAGCAATTTCACCAGTTTTCCACCGCGCCCCGTAGATATATTTCGGCCGACTCAGATGAATCAAAAGTTTTCTTTATCCCTCACGGTCACGATGAACTTAGACGGGAAACGAAATCCGCATATCACTTCATGCTGCCTGCATTTCTTTCGTATGTTGTCAAACTTCTGTCTGTTTCAAGATGTCAGCGGCGAGATCTGGAAAGATATGCATCGCTTTTCCATCGTATTGCAGAGGTTTCGATCTTGCCAGGCGCAGAATGCGTTCTTTCACTTGATAATGATGAAGTCGTACAATGAATGCCCGAGAGCGGCCTTCTCTTATGGGTTGTGGCGAGCGGTGTGCCCTGTCAATCTGAATTGGTCGGTCAAAGTTCTCCTCACCCAACACCTGAGCCAGAAGATTAGTCACAAACTCAGTAGGTTTGCCATTTTCAGCGCCTTCCTTTATGCCGATAATTCTAACGTTTTGTCGTCGAGATCTTGATTCTAAGTCAAAGACCTTTTCTTAAGCTTTTCACATTCGGTCTCCAGGTGTGCACATACTTTCTCCAGTGATTCGATGCGGGCCTCGTGAACTTTTGCTGCCTCTTCAGTTGTTGCTACTCTGGTGGAAATACTAGCAAGTGATACTTTCACCTCGGATAAAGTAGATGAAAGGACATCGAACTTCATGTCAAAGGTGGTGCTCAGTTTCGCTATTGCTTCCATAATGTCTGTGTTCGTCGGCACTGTTGCTTCAACGCTAACGTTAGCTTGATTAGCCGCCGGCGACGACTCGTGAAATTTATCTGTACCTCCTGACTCCTCAGTATTCGATTTTCTTATGCTTTGTCGGCATTGCTCAGGACGTTTGGAATTAATAACTTGTGATATTTAAGCGGCTACAAGATATTTTATCTGACAATACGACAGACTTGTGGAGAGCTATAAAAAAAACACGTTCTCTCCATTCGGTGCCGGAAGCGCGCCCAAAACGAATCTTAATACCAGGTGTAAGCAGGGCCGAAGTGTATTGAAAGACAGAACACTTTCATGACTATATGTCTTAGCACACTTAAATATACTTTTTTTAAAGAGCACTTTTTAAATAATGTCAAATTAAACATCTTATTTGAAAATACATTTTAAATCATTATGTTTTAATAATCTTATGCTGTGATTTAAAGTACACATATTTTAATGTGTTGACTAACATACTAAAGCACATACAGTGGTGGCAAAATTATTAGAACACTTGGCATATTTAAGAGGTTTCAGTTGTTATTTTCCAAGAGGAAAATGACCCTAAACGTTCTTCTAACTATTGCCGGAGCTACCTGAGACGGAAGGAATCTGCAGGAACATTGAAAATGTTGGACAGGCCCCGTCAAAGTCCGGACCTCAACCCCATCGACCAAATTTGGGGCGAGTTGGAAAACAAACTGGACAGAACAGATCTATTGTACATTCAAAGGAAAGCCTTTGGCTTCAGTTGCAGAAGGCATGGGATACCATTAGTGTTGAAATTCTGGAGTAATTGCTGCAAAAGGTGGAAATTCCAAATATTAAAGGTAAAAGTGGATAAAAACAGTACGACTCACTTCATCTGATATTTGTTGTGCTCATAGCAACCATCTAAATGTTTCATGAACATTATGAAATGAAATCATGTTTTGGAGGCAAAAAATGTTAATATTTTCAGATCTGTCAGGTGTTCTAATAATTTTGGCCACCACTGTGCATGTAATGACATTACAAATGTGTAGATAAAAAAGTATTTAAACTCATAACATACATGTTTCAATAGAAATTACTTTAAAGTATATTTTAGTTTACCACAAATGCCTGTCAGTACATCCGGCAGTACAATTTAAACATTTAAAATTTTGCTAAAGTGTAGCCTACTTCTTTTTCACAAGGGTTGACCTTATAGTTAATTATTTTTTTACCATAGTGATCATAATAACCATCAAAATACTATTACAACCAAAGACCCCATAGTACATGGATAAAGCAAAGAAATATTGACTAGGAAAAATACAAGAGCCCTACAAAACATTGTCAGTAGTAAAACATCTACAATTAAATATACTTTTAATGGGTAGGATATGCTCTCTTAAAAATATTTCTATAGGCTAATACAACAGCCACTGTTTTGTGTGTGTGTGTGTGTGTGTGTGTGTGTGTGTGTGTGTGTGTGTGTGTGTGTGTGTGTGTGTGTAGCTACATTAATAAATAGTATCAAAGTAGGTAACTTTAGTACTTGTGCGATAAATTGTTAACAGGGTTACGTTTTTGAGGGTTGCAAGTGTCTGTGTATTCATTCAGCAGTAAGTATGACAAACAACGACAAATGTCACCTGTTCATAAAAAAAGTGCATGACTTGATTTTTTTATAAAGTAACAGAATTACCCGCGTGTTTGTGTTATTTGAGTGCGTAATGATAAATAATAATAATAAAAAACATTCAATTTTAACAGCATCAGTGACGAGAACACGACGACTTACACTTTTATTGTGAAAAACAGCCTCTCTCAGCCATTTTGAAAAGCTTTCTCCCCAACTCCGGCTTCATGACATGTTGTTGCCTGCAAAGTGCAAACAGCCAGTGCAGAGGATGTTAGTAAACACATAGTTAGTCAAAAACGTGCTGCACTTGAAGTGAAACTATTTCCCGAGTAGTGTACTTCTGCATATAACGGACTACCATAGCAAGTTCCCCCTGCTCTGTGTTCTCGGACACTCGTGTTAACTTTCACAGGGGTCTTTGAACATAACTGTGGTCAGTCAACCTCTAACTGCACAGCAAGGTCGTCCCATGTCTTGACAGATCAGGGCTGGCTGAACTATATTTGTCTACCATAGGTAAGTATTCATGACTGTTTTATTGTTTTATGATACCATCATAAACAATCAGTAGACACTGACAGTATGTCATAACTAACTTAACATGTTAAGTGATGACTTCCAATCCCTGCTGTTTAAAAAGTGTTTAAAAGTGATGTGCTGCATCGTAACTTACCTGTTTCAGGATGCACTATGTGGCGAGTGGCTCCCTGTCCTTCGGTTCTATGGGCCTGCTCCGTCTGTTTGGGGCATCTTGGTCCTGGAGCCTTGCAGCAGGTCTGGGTGTTTATTTAGGAACAGGAGGCTGGCGGTACCTGTATGTGGTTGTTCGTACGGCTAAAAGGGACATCAAGTGAGTGACTGATATTTTGGATATCATACAAAATTACTTTGTAATGTTTAAACTAAATTCGGCATGAAACGGATGTTGCGATAGTAGCTATTTTCTTCCCTATTGTTATATAAATCCGAGTGAAACCGCTTTTCGAACAAGAAAAAATGTAGGGCGGGACTTTTTTATGTTCATCAGCATTTGATTGGATGGTTGTGGTGTGCTATTGGTGGATGTCATGTGAGTGACAGGTTATTTCACCCTTTCGCCAGTAAACACATCAGCAGAGAAGAGATGACGTTGCAAGAGGGATGGGAAGTTATTTTGATTAAAGATGACACTAATTAAAAAGATAATGATGCATGGACCACGGATACATAATTCATTATAAATACTGCAGTATTTTAAAAAAAAAGAAAAGAAAATGGAATTGTCCATTTTGACTTCATGGTGACAAAATGTCATAACTCCATTGAAATGACAGACTTCTTTCTGGTGGCTTTTGGCAGACTTCCCCAATCGTTTCATCTGCTTAAACTCCGCCTCTTACAAGCCTCTTATTCCAACTTCAGGGAATAGTTCGCCCCAAAAAAATGAGATTACTGTCATCATTCAAGGCCTTTTTACAGCAAGAAAGATAACTATAACGATAACAAATATTAGCATCCATCCACACCAGCGCACAATGGCACTGCATCACATCCTCGAGCTCAAAGGATTGATTCTGATTAGAACCATTTTTAAAACTGTATGTTTATCGTGTCTACCAAATGTGTATGAAATCAGTTTTTTCCTGTGAAACTTCAAAATTGAAAGTCGGCATGAAATCAAATTGAAAATCTGAAATCATGAAATCTATTCTTCACACACCAAACAACAACTAATGGATAATATCAAGCCCCGTCCTACTTTTTTTGTTCTTCAATAGCAGTTTCACTCAGAAATGCATCACATTGAAAGTAAAGTCTGTCGGAACATCCGTTTCATGCCAACTGTTTGTTGTCAAATCTGATCCCTTCCACTGTAGCTTTCCTATCTCATTCCCGAATTTTCATTTGGTTAAGAGACTCGTGAGAACGGCTGTCAAGGGGCAGTCACGGTAGAAATATTTTAAGGGAAATAAAGTGTGTTTTCTTTCTTATTTATGTAGTCTATTTTCAATAGTGTAGTGTTGTCTGAAGCACATTTCACACAGAAGTCACTTTCAAACCAATACGGCGACTCCAATTTGTACTTGTTGCAGAATTGTCACTTTTTCGGAATACAAAATTCGAATCGTGTTGATTCCTGTTGAAAATGACTGGATTTCGCGCATGAAATTTTGCTGTACAACGTTAAACGTGACAGCAACTTCATTAACAATGGATCTGGCGTTGCACATATTAAGGAATAACTTTGAGTATTTAAATGAGAGCTACAAAAGATTACAAAAAATGGCTAATGCTTCACATGTAGTATTTTCAGCAGGTGTAAATAACTGATTATTCCTCATCTTGTCCATCAGCGGGCTTTATGTGCTGCTGAGGGTCAAACTGGCGCTATGGCATCATATCCGTCACAGAAACACCATACCCTCCATCTTTGCACAAACCGTGGCTAAACACCCAGACAAGCCTGCGCTCGTGTATGAAGCCACTGGGGAAACGTGGACTTTCTGCCAGTTAGATCAGATCTCCAATGCTGTGGCCCATTGGGCACTGAGCCAGGGCTGGACCTCGGGAGATGTGGTGGCGCTCTTCATGGAGAGCCGGCCGCTCCAAGTGGCGCTCTGGCTTGGCCTGGCCAAAGTAGGTGTGGAGGCTGCGCTCATTAACTTCAACCTCCGAAAGGATTCGCTCCTGCACTGCGTGGGTGTGTCCGCGTCCCGAGGGATGGTGTTTGGAGCAGAGCTAGCGGACGGTGAGTCGATAACCTTCTCTTTGACTCTTTGATCAGGACCATGCAACTAAATGCACATGCCTCCCTGTATGTATGTAGCCCTGTCTGAAGTGAGCTCTTCCTTGAGTGAGACCATGGTGCGGTTCAGCACGGGAGACCTCAGTCCAGACCAGATGGCCGCTCTGAAATGTCAGCCCCTTGACTCCATTCTGGCATCTTCCCCTCGACACTCACCACCGTGCGCTGTGTCCAAGGGCTTCAACGGTGAGATTCACAGTATTACAAGGGTTTACTTGTAGAGCAGAGGTATCGAACACGTAGACCATGGGTCGGATACGGCTCGTAGAGGAGTCTTAAGGCCCTATTTTACTCCTGGTATTAAGATGCGTTTTGGTCGATTACAAGTGGACGACGCTTAATACAGGTGTAAACGGAGTCTAAAATGTTTTGAGCTTGTCCACTTTCGACCACTTCCAGAGGTAGTCGAAAACACTTTAGACCGGATTGCTTTCGTAGTGTAAATTCTAATGTGGTCGAATGCTTTTGAACAGCCGCAAAAGACCGCCTACTCTCTGCCTACTGACTTAATAAGTAAACATTATGGGAAGCGCGCTAGCCAGACGGGATTTAAACTTTGTCGGCTGAAGACCCAAGTTGTGTCAGAACAGAAATGAAAGCTGATGCTCTCCGTATCGTTTTCTGTTTTCTCTGGTCGTGTTCATATGTAAATTGTGTGAGTTTATTAGATCGAAAGATCCGCACATTGACCTTCCCCTCGAAGAAATCAGGGAAGAAGTGGTTGAAAGTGGACAAAAGAGACTAGGTGTAAAAAAAAACCGTCTACTTGTGATCCGATCGACCAAAACGCATCTTAATACCAGGTGTAAACAGGGCCAAAGTTGGCATGTGGAAAGAATTAATTTATTTTATGGGTTTGGGCTGTTGTTATATGAGCGCTGACTTCATTGAGTAAATCACCAACGTTGCAAAAATCAAATAAAAAATGCCGTGAGAGAGTGCATGCATTCTCTTTATGTTGAACCATTGCACATATCCAAGCAACACACAGTAGTGTTTAGTTAATGACTGCATTTTTTGAACAAATTTTTCAAGTGAATGATTCAATGACCCATTCATTAAGTGTAACCAATTAAAAAAAATGGCCTTCATAAGCTGAAGTTTATTGTACAGTAGTCCAGCCCTCCAAAATTAAAATGAGTTTGACACCCCTGCCGTAGAGACTCATTTCGAAAGGTCTCTGATGGATGGCTCAAGTGGTATTATTAATGTTTTTAAGTTCACCTCACTTTGACTATCAGCGCACTGGAGTGTTACATTTATTTCACATCTTGTGCTTTTATGATCTCTGCTGCTGCAGTTTTGTTGCAAAACTTTGTGTTGTGGGCCTTTATGGAAGTTTTTATGGAGGTGAGTTAAAAAAAATAAAAAAAACTTGTAGACAATTGGTTTTGAGTCCATCTGAAGGACAGGCTTTAGGGCAGATATTAGAATGATGTGTAAACCTTGTCTATCTGTTTATCCTGAGGGCTACTAGTTGTGTTTTTTTGCCAGTTGTTAGTGTGTAAAGTATATTTTTGATGTCCTCCCTAGCAATAAGAGTGTATTCCACTTCTCCTTGATTGTATTCATCCTCAGACTAGCCTATTCATTACAAATATGGTAGATTGTCTATTACACAAGTCATTATAAGAACACTTCATATTGTGCCGCTGGCAGTGGGATTGGTTTCTTTGTGTAATAGCCCTGAATCAGACAAAACTTTGAGTAGCAAATTAATTCGATTTTTAATTAGCAAGTCTCAGAGATATATTAGCTCAAATGAATGGTTTCCACTCTTGTGAAGTGATGGTGATTAATCAAGTGGTCTTCAGTTCTGTTAAAAGCTCTTTTGATGATAAGAGACGGTAATCTTTTTGAAGACAAGCATGTGATTGAGAACGAGAAAGAAAGGATAAAGAAAATAAAGGTAAAGAAATATTTAGGAATGTCAGAATAATGTATTTTTACTATGTTCAGCATAAGCCAACACAGAATATCCAACTACTACGTTATGTAGTATTGTATATTGTGCACTAGGAATGTCATCGTATCACAATTTCAGTAGTTGGTATTAATAATGTAATTTCACAATCGTCAATACAATTTTCAATACTACAGCAAAAGCTTTTATGCCAATACGCTGTATTTAAGGTTACTCTTTATTTTCTCTTTATCTAATTGCATTATAAAGGATTATAAATAATTAACAAAATAATAAACATTAAGAAATTGAACAGCAAATACACAGTAATCAAAAGGAAAATAAGTGAATAAATAATATAATTATTTTATTATGTTAAAAAAGTACCCAAAATTGTTTCTAAACATAAACTAGCCTTCAAATGTTTTCAAAAATGTTTTTTTAATTATCTTATGCTCACTAAGGCTGCATTTATTTGATCAAAATATACAGTAAAAACAGTAATATTGTGAAATATTATTCAAATTGAAAATGATGGGTATGCTAATTTGTGCCGTTTAATATTTCATGGTTTTATAATAGTTATTTGTAACATTATAAATGTCTTTGCTGTCACTTTTAATCAAATTAACGCATCCTTGCACTAGACAGTTACCATTAAACTAGTAGTCCAAGCATCACCCATGTCTCATCATGTTTTCCCTTTCTCATACAGATCGTTTGTTCTATATCTACACTTCTGGCACCACTGGACTCCCTAAAGCTGCTATAGTGGTGCACAGTCGGTAACCTGCTCGCAGCCACGTCACAATCTTACAGCTTTCCTTAGAAATGAAACGAGCTTTTATTAAACTACTTCTATTTCCTAGGTATTACAGGATTGCTGCTTTCGGGTACCATTCTTTTCGTATGCGGCCAGACGACATCATCTATGACTGTTTACCCCTCTACCACTCAGCAGGTGTGTTGTGCGTATCACAGACATGTTGCTCCTGACCTCACAGGCTCTATGTATTTCTATAAATAAGTTTTAAGCTGTTTGATATTGTTGGTTTCAAATTAAACATACTGTTGCAGATTTCACATTTAGCTCAACATCTGTTGGATTTACTCATTAACAGGTAATATTATGGGTGTGGGCCAGTGTCTGATTCACGGTATAACCGTGGTGGTCAAGAAGAAGTTCTCAGCAAGTCGCTTCTGGGAAGACTGTATCAAACATAACTGCACTGTAAGTCACTTACATTTGGGTCATTAATGGCAAATAAGGGTACATTTGCACGACAACAGTGTACTAAAAATGGAAACGGTTTTCCTTTGCGTTTTTACACGTACAGACGACACCATAGTCAAAACGACTAAAAATGTTGTATTATTCATGTCACGCCATGTCACTTTGTAAAGAAACACTACGCACCTCTAGATTGAACACATAATACGCATGCGTTGTGACGTCACCGTCATAAATTCGTAGTTTACAAATTTGTAGTTTACACAGAGATGATAGCGGTAACGTTTTCAAAAACTTGCACTTTAAAACCCATTTTCAAAGGTTTGTGTTTTCAGGCCCCCATAACACCGTTGTCATGTAAATGAACGTCCAAAAAGCATAAAATGTTTGTGTAAATGCCCCCTAAGAATGCCCAAGATGAGGATCATTTGAGATTTTTACATTTGCATTAGTTTCATATAGTCTTTTAAAAGCCTATATACCATTTTCAACAAAAATTAGCTTTGAGTAATTCATATTCTCTTACATCTAAGTGTACATAGTCTCATGTAGCCAGACCTTCAGACTAACTGCAGAAGATCTGGACACTATAGCAGCTTTCACTGGTCAAGGACCGCCCAGAGGTCTTCTGATTGACATGAAAAGCAACCAATCACAGTTCGTTTTGTTCAGCATTATGTTTAGGGGAGTCAAAATGTAAAGTCGATATTAAAATAGACCATAGATCATTCATTCAAGAACGTTGTGCAAACACTTGCTTGAAGCATATCTCTCCACTTTTTAATGGCAACAAGCAGTTCGAGAGAACCGAACACAAGAAGGAATTGGCCGGCTGCGATGTCAGCGTCTTTCCTTTCATGTTTACTCACATATGTTGCTAATATCCGCTTCTCGGTTAAATCCTTTCCCTGAACTTCCCATAATTGATGTGAGAGGCCGCACAACTAATAAAATTAGATCACTCCGGACTCGGAGTCATTCCAAGTTCTTGCAAAGGGTCGGCCAGGCTCGGAAAATAATACTCTTCCTATATCTGATATTTCCATTTACACTATGCACTTGGCGAAACAACCCAAGCTAAATGAAGTGACCCTGACAAGCTTAGGCTTAAAAGGAGGTAAAAACGGCGTGATTTGCGATGGACGCAGACGAAATGATAATACAAGCTTTTGCTTTCCGCACCATCTTTAAAGCCCTAGTTGCAGCCTGGGGGAATGCAGAAATGATCGCTGTTGTAATTGCTGTGGTTGGTACGTCATTTTCAGTGATGAACGACTCCGCATTGACAAGAAAATCCGATCTGTCCGCTTGCATGGCAGACGCAAACGCTCGTATGCGATTCATGTCAGATTTATTTCCACATAAGGCCTGACACTGATCTGACAATATTGGAATCCATGTGCTTTTTTCCTGCTTACACGTTCATGGGTTATGTCTAATCTGTGCCACATGGGAGGAAAAAAATGCTGTGAACTTCACATCATTTAAAAAATTCAGTGTTTTGTCGATCCTGATATGCACTCATTGTCATAGTTGGAAACACAACAGCTTCCTCCTTCTATGAGGGTCACGACGGCTTTAGTTCCAGGCGGACCGTTAAAGAACGTCTCGCGGATGTCCTGTAGAATTCAGCCAATCAGATGTTGACTTCGAAATTTCATTTGCCATATGCATCAGATGTTCAGCCGACTCTCTGTGGGTGTGACGTCTCAGGCTGAGGCTAGAGTGTACACAGCGTTTTCAAAACAAGTTTTCAGTTGTATTTTTTTAAGGTGGAAAGTGCCTTTGAATCATGAAAATCAATGTTTTCTCTAACTTGGCCATTTGAACTAACCTGAAATAAAATGGTATTTATTTGATATTTCTAAAAGGCATCCTGACCTTACATTTTCAAATTCTATATTAAAATAGATCGATGTTTAATGTCAGGTTTGTATAAGTCATTGTTTATATGCAGTGCATTTTAACCCTTTCCCCGCCAATGTTTTTTTTAAGTTGCGAGCCAGCGCCAGTATTTTTGTTTGCTTTCACAAAAGTTTCACGGCCCCCAGAATATCTTTCTGAAGATGTGCAAACCCCCGTCCATCCGTATAACAGTGAAAACATGGATTGCCGGATAATTCTGTCAATGCCAGGGAAAGAGTTAATGCGCTTTTAAATAAATTAATATATCCCGGCGGGGCATGATGTCACTTACAAGCATCTTTAACGATTCGGTGTTATGAGTGAATAAATTCATTAATAAATACAAGAGTGTGTCGTTCTTACTCTCACAACAGTCTGCTTTTTCCCTCTCTTCCAGGTTGTGCAGTACATAGGCGAGATTTGCCGTTACCTGCTGTCCCAGCCTGTGCGGCCCACGGAGCGACAGCACCGGGTGCGTTTGGCTGTGGGGAACGGGCTGCGGCCGAGCGTGTGGGAGGCCTTCGTGGAGCGCTTTGGAGTAAAACAGATTGGCGAGTTCTATGGAGCCACCGAGTGCAACTGCAGCATTGCCAATATGGATGGCAAGGTCAGATATCAGTGTTCTTCTGAGAACGTTAAATGTTACAATGATTTATGGATTTTGTCATTTGTAACCGTTAAACGAATGGTTAAAAACTCACTCTCAACGCGGCAGGTTGGAGCTTGTGGGTTTAACAGTCGCATTCTTCCTAATGTGTACCCCATTCGACTGGTGAAAGTGAACGAGGAAACCATGGAACTGGTTCGAGACAAGCAGGGACTGTGTGTGACTTGCCGACCTGGTGCGTTCAGAGCCGAAAACTCTTGTTTGATTTATATGTTTGCTGAACATGTGGTCATGCAGTAGGTTTTACAGAATTTTTTTAGATCTGGTCGAAAGTCTGATATATGGTGGCCTCAATGTATTTGGAGACTTTAAAATGTATGAATATCATTGCATTGCGTAAAATATCAAAGCTAATGGAATACATTCTAAAGGGTTAGTTCACCCCAAAATGAAAATTATGTCATTAATGACTCACCCTCATGTCGTCCCAAGCCCGTAAGACCTCCGTTCATCTTCAGAACACAGTTTAAGATATTTTAGATTTAGTCCGAGAGCTTTCTGTCCTCCATTGGAAATTTATGTACGGTATACTATCCTTGTCCAGAAAGGAAATAAAGACATCATCAAAGTAGTCCATGTGACATCAGTGGGTTAGTTAGAATGTTTTGAAGCATCGAAAATACATTTTGGTCCAAAAATAACAAAAACTACGACTTTATTCAGCATTGTATTCTCTTCCGGTTCTGTTGTGGATCCGCGTTCAGTGCCGCTGCTGACGTAAGACGCTGCTGACGTGTTATCTGGTGCGTCCGTGTATTCGGGTTCAGATAAATATGGCTGGGCCAAAAAAATGCAAGTCTTCCTCTGTGTCGAAATCCTTAGACATGTTTGCGAAGATTGTTTTGTTTACAGCGTGCGTCTCCCTCAGACTGTAAACGAAGCTCGGGTGCACCAGATGACACGTCAGCAGCGTCTTACGTCATCAGCGGCACTGAACGCGTTCCGAAGATGAACGAAGGTCTTACAGCTTGGAACGACATGAGGGAGAGTCATTAATGACATAATTTTCATTTTTGGGTGAACTAGCCCTTTAAATAAAGATAGCCCATGCACACTTATCAGGTAAACAGGTGTTGGCATTTTACTGCAATAAACTGTAACCATGTACAAAATGAATGAATAGTCATTCTCTCACAGATGTCTTTTGTGCCCGTATCATTGTTTTTTCTCTTCATGTATTGTCTTCCGCTCACAGGAGAGCCTGGGCTGTTGGTGGGGAGAATTAATCAGCAGGATCCTCTGCGTCGGTTTGATGGATACGCTAGTCAGGATGCCACCAGGAAGAAGATCGCCTACAATGTGTTCAGGAAAAATGACTCCGCTTATCTGTCAGGTGCACCTTTAACACATTGCAAAAAAGTGGCAGCGTCGAATATTTTCTGACAGCGTGGATGTAAATATTGTGGATGGTTTTAGACTCACAAATGCAACCACAATATAGCATTCACCACTCGGCAAACTTATTTTGTTGGTATGGTTTCTCTCAGGTGATGTTTTAGTTATGGATGAGCTTGGATACATGTACTTCCGGGACCGGAGTGGTGACACGTTTCGTTGGAAAGGTGAGAACGTCTCCACTACTGAAGTGGAAGGAACACTGAGCAGCCTGTTGGGACAGATTGATGTAGCAGTGTTTGGAGTAAACGTACCAGGTGAGACAGACAAAGCAGCTTTTGTCCTGAAATTACCAAAGACCCATAATTCCAAGTGTCCCCATATACACATGTAAACACACGTGTGTGTTTGTATAGGTGTGGAGGGAAAAGCCGGAATGGCTGCCATCGCTGACTCAACAGGAAGCTTTAACTGTAATTCTTTCCTGAGAGAAGTTCAGCAAGCTCTTCCTCCGTACGCACGGCCAATATTTCTACGCATCTCCCCATGTGTAGATACCACAGGTGAGGAAAGATCCCCAAAAATCACACCGCCTGGATTGAGCGATATATTGTGCATTTTGCCATATATGCACTGTAGTTTTTCTAGAGATGTAAAGCTAAGCAACTTTGTGAATATCTCAATGATTTACTCTTTCCCCGCCATTGACGAAATTTTTCGGCTTTCCATGTTTCCACTGTTATACGGTATTACGGGAAGGGGGCGCTATTACGCATCTTCTGAAAGAGTACAGAATCTCCGGATCAAAACACACGCGAAAAAGGAGCAGGAACAATCGATAAAAGCATTGCTTATGCATGTTGTAGATTTTCTCGATTTTCTCAAAATGTTGCTTTTTTTATGAAACGTACCCACATTTAAGTGTTGATCGAAAAGAATGCATGATTTTTTTGTTTTAAAAGCAAAGCAGAGGCTATGTTCTGACAGCAAAAATTCCAGTAGCACCTCAATGCAGTACATGAGATCCACGGGGAGGAGTCGGATCAAGATCCAAGGGGTGGAGATGGGTAGGATTAGGGTTGGGTTTAGGGATTAGGGGTGGGTTTAGGGATCAGGGGGCGGAGTTGGGTAGGTTTAGGTGTATGTAAGGTGGGAGGAGTCGGATCTGGATCCGACTCCTCCCCGTGGATTTCATGTTCCGCAGTGAGGACCATCTCAAAAATTCAGACAACAAAATATTCTGGGGGCCATTACATTTTTGTGAAAATGATCAAAACTGTTGGCGGTGGCTGGAAAAAAAAAAAATTTTAAGCTAGTGGGGAAAGGGTTAATGTATGAAGGCTTGGGTTAGACTTTATTTTAAGGTGTCAGTGTAATCAGTGTAATCATACATTTAAGTACTGAGTAATCATACATTTAAGTACTGAGTACTATTAATTAAATACATCTATTTACTATATAATTAGGGGTTAGGGTTTGGTTTAGTCGCTTGTAATTACACATAATTTACTGTTATTACTATAGTAATTACATGTAACCAATATAACAAGGACACTGTAAAATAAAGTGATACTGAAACTTGTTTCTGCCCCGGAATAAAAAATAAACAAGGTTACTGTGACTTTTTATCTTGCAAATGTGAGAAAAAAAAAAGTTCAAATTGTAAGTTATCTCAATTTGGGACTCTTCTCACATTTGTGAGTTATTACCTTATAATTTAGGACTCTTTTTCTCACATTTGAGAGTTATCTCATAATTCAGGACTTTTTAATTTTGACTATTTCTAGCAATTTTGAGATTTAAATTTAGATTCTGAGAAAAAAAAGTCAGAATTGCTATGGAAATAGTTGCAATTCGTTTTTTTTATTTACAGTGTTGGAAACAAGCTTCCATATTAATGTGCTATTTATTGGCTTATTAAATTTTCAAAAAATATGAGACCTTCACTTGCAAACATTATGTTAGAGTTGATTAGTTTTGATTCACTTGCGTGAATCAGTTTAAATTGTGTGTTTCAAAGAATTTGAAGAACTGATTTAGCAATCTGTTTGCAGCATCAATCTAAAATGTTTTAATAAAAATGTAATTATTTTTGTTAATTACTATGTTTTGCCATTGGTGAGCATGAAATAAATGATTTGTGTTTATTTATTTAAACTAGATTTCTAGTGATTTTTTTTAAAACATTTTGAATCTAACTGGCCACAATGGCCATATGATAAAAATGATGGTTACTCTGATTGATAAAAACCCATTGTTTTTCTCAAATATTTCAAAAATGGTGTGTATATGCTGTGAATTGATTTCCTACTCTTACCCTTTCACAGGAACATTTAAAATTCAGAAGACCAGATTGCAGAGGGAAGGATACGATCCACGGCTCACAACTGACCAGATCTACTTTCTGAACTCCAGAGCAGGCCGTTACGAGCTTGTGAACGAGGAGCTGTACAGTGCTTTTGAAGAAGGCAGGATATCCCTTTGAGACGAAGAAGAGAAGGTAGCCTGAACCTACCTGGTCATCTTCTAACATGTGACCGCGCGCAGTGTTGCCGCAATACTGCGACAGAAACCACTAGCATGTAGACACTTCTTTTGCATTTACATTCTTCAAATTTATAGTATTTGCATTTGAAGAGGGTTCTTCGATTTGGTAGCCTACTAGAAAGCACAAGCTGTATCTTGGCAATGACAAACTAATGATCTAATATGCAATAGATGGGACAGTAAGAGTGAATTATTCTTTTAATTTGTTATTCTTAGTTGATGGTGTGCACAGGTGACGAAATACATGTGCACTCCCAATTTAACAACCAAAACAACAACACAAAGCCAACGGGATGAAAGATGAAACTCCACTAGGATGTCTGGCTTTGATATTAGACTTATACCACTACAAACCAGCAAGTTAAATGCATTTTGAGCCTGAATGATGATGATTAGTGTACATTAACGAAATTGAGATTTTTACTACTTAAACATTGTTAAAATTGCCTAACTCCAAAGTGACTTTTAGAGAGCTGAAAGATACAGTGTCTTTGTAAACAGCCAAAATGAAGTGCCTTAGATTTGACCTCTTCAAGCTTTACCCATGTGTGATGTGACAAGATGAATGGCCTGACACTGATACATGAACAAAGACGTTTTGAAAAACTAAAACAGTGTAATCACATGAATCTACTGCAATCTAAATGAATAAATAAACATTTTTACTGCATTTCACTTCTTCTCTTTTCTGATTCTAATGACCTGACATTGACATTTATTTTTGTCGAATCTCACAAAGAAAGGAAAGGGTCATATTTAAATAAAATATAGAATTGCTCATTTTAAAAAAAAGAAAAAGAATAAATACAAAAATATGTTGAAGTAATATAATTATATTGGGCTGTCACAATATCAGGTTTTCACTACTCTCCCCATTTCTGATTTTAATGTCCTGACATAAATCTTAAATCTTTGTTGTATGGGTTATATTTAAGTAATATTTATTATTAGGCCTGTTACAATGTCATATTTTCTTTGTGGCCAAAGTACTCACAATAACAATAGATATCTATAGAAATTTTGTTAGCTATCAGTCAATTTATCACACTCTATATGAGACTGGGGAGGCGGAGACTAACTGTCCAAATAAAGCGCACAAAACTAATTTAATGGCATTTCCTGCAGACTGGGGTTTCTAACACCCCTTCTTTTTACCAAATCCAAAAAACTCCCACAGTGGCGAGTGAACCTTTTTTCCGGGTGAGGGTAGACAGTGGTATTAAGATCCATTGGTTGAATGGATCACAAGTAGACGAGGGAGACACATACTTGTTTACACCTGTTGTTTTAATCCGTCTCTTTTGTCCACTTTCAAACACTTCTTCCCTGATTTCTTCAAGGAGAGGGTCTATGGGGGGGGGGATGTATGGGCTTTTTTAGATCTTTCGATCTAATGGACAAAATAAGCTCATGCAATTTACATATGACCTGTGCGTGTGTGTTAGAAATCAGGAATGATGAGAGAACATCGTGCTTGGTACGTTTTTCATCTTCAAACCAAACTTGGGTCTTCAGCCGACAAAGTTTAAATCCTGTTTACATCTTCGGTCAGTATGCGGAGAGGAGGCGTCTTTTGTGGCTGTTCGAACACATTCGACCACATGAGCGTTTACACTACGAAAGCAATCCGATCGAATGCGTTTTTGACTACCTCTGGAAGTGGTCAAAAGTGGACAAGCTCAAAACTTTTTAGACCCCGTTTACACCTGTATTTAGCGTCGTCCACTTGTGATCCGATCGACCAAAACGCATCTTGAAGCAGCACTAAGTAGGAATTCCAGTTTTGTCAAACAGCGCCACCTAGAGTCGCTGTGGAGTACTTGTACTGTCGTGAATAGCACTCACGCAGAGATGGCTCGCACTCACGGCCGGATCCCCTCCCCCTGTACACCGGTACCTGTTCAGTAGGGTGGACGCTGTAACGAGTGGAAATAAGGTATGGCCCCTTTAAGAGCTGCGCGCGCCCTGTTTAACTGTCGGCAGTCTGTATTGTATGTGCGCCTCGAACACCACATGTATACGGCGCTGGGTTATTTCTGTTTGATGCTCATTTTATCAGAATTTAATCAGATCTGTTTTTTGCCGTAAAGCAATTCGTTACCTCGCGAGACCTGATATCACACGAGACCTCCTAACACTGAGGCCGGCGGCTCGACCACCATTCAACACGAAATCAGTTATATAAACATTACAATGACTAAAATAAAAGCTGTTCGGGTAAGGTAAAAAAGTTACTTAGTTCACCTTTAACACCAGGTGTAAACAGGGCCTGTCTCTCTTCTATATCTATCAACTCCTCCAACAAGATTTTGAGTGGCAGTAGTACATTGCTACACACTACGTCGCCATTGTTGTCTACTTTTTTCCATTTTATGATGGGTGGAAACCAGTGATAAGGTGCAATACCGCCACACACACACTATGATGAAGTGTCAACCGCTGGTGTTGGATTATTTACAATATTATCATATTTTCTTTTGATTTCAGGAAAATGTGACCTATGCATTTTATGACAGTTTTGGGGAGATTCACCTTGTTGTTCAGATCATCTATCAGGTTTTTAAAATCCAAAACAAGTGGAACTGGAGGTTATTTCCACAACACATGTACTGTAACATGAGAGTTGAGATGTGGAGAGAGAAATGCTGAGAGGGACCTTCTTCACATCAGTCTGTCTTAATAGAGATCCACGCTGGCAACACTTTCAGTGGGTGCTCCTTACAGGCACTGCAGAAGTATGGGAACGCTCTCGGAGTGATGATGTCCATGTAGGTGAATAATGGCGTCCTCTCTCGTGGGTCGTAGAAAGTCACCCTGGACCTGTTCATGTCCAGAACCACTCTCACCACCTGCGGCTCCTGAGTCATAGTGAGAGGGGACCATGGGGCAGTACAGGCTTTATACTCTCCGTTTCGTAGCCTAATGGTCCAGAATCCCTCTGCGGGGGTCAGCACGTGCTTTCCCTTTCGGCTGATGGATGCGCTTGCAACTCCAATGACCCAGTAGGTGTTGTTTTTGACCTCCACGTCCCAGCTGTATCGTCCCGAGCTGAAGCCCTCATAGGCCAGCACCTCTGCGCCAACATTGAAACGCTCAGGGTTTTCTGGGAGTTTAAACGTCTGGGAACAGCACTGTAATGTGGTCAGATCCTCTGACAGGAGGAAGCAGCTTGCCGCGGTGTTCGGATCAAGGGTCACTGGAGCTGAAACAAAGCAATTGTTTAAAGGGTGAAATGCAAATGTTGCTGAGAAAGCAAAATTCGTTAAAGTCACTGGATCTTTTACTCTAGTTAAAAAAAAATATTTAAAGGTGCTATATGTATTTTTTAGCGGCCTCTATCGTGATGTTTCAGATTGCAACCAATATTTACAAGAGCGCTCGAACAAAAGAGTGAACACTCATGGTACCGGCCACACTGAGACTTTTCGCACACAACATGCTGGAAACTCATGTAAACTCCCACTGCAACGTTACAATAATAGGCTACTTTATCAGCTTGACGTTGAACTAATGCTCCATGCTCGTACCATGATAACGTTACATTGACTGCATTTAGCCGGCATGTGGTGTTATCTAGCACAACGCATTTCACTAACTATTCGTGTATCTTTCACAATCAGGCAGCAATGTCAACATAGCCTAGAGATGAATGTATAATATGATAACGAAAACGGTTAGTGAACTAGACTGAACAATTTCAGTGTAACAGTAAGATCGTAGGAAGTAACATTACTGTACTGAATGTGTCTGGGAATGTGTATTATAAACAATATGATAGTAGTGGGATGAGTGACGTTAGACAGTAGATCTAGTACATAAAATAAAAGTTGCACCTAACGTTACTTTTTGTTATCCTGGAACAGTCTTTTGTATTCATTTCATGTCTCCTGTATGTTGTAGTTTACCTTGCTATTTCATTACAGTTTACCATTATTTCAGCATATCTGAAAACTTGTAATTTATCACAATAAAAATAGCGGAGGTCTCTCCATAATTCAAACGCTCTGCCGATGTTGATCCGTGTTTTCGTCCTAAGTCGATCCGATTCACGTTTGGCCTGACGAGCTTCAGCAGATAACTTTTTGTTTTGTTTTTTATATTTATGTGGAGTGTGTGTGTTGTACTGGAGGCAGGTCGTTTTTTGTTGGTATCAGACTCCATGTCGTCAGCTGCAGTGCCGTCGCATATAAAAGTGCAGACTGTATATAAAAAGGAGAGAGGCTCGGGAGCGCGCATGCACGTCACATCCGATGGCTTTCGCAGAAAATCCGACCCGGAGACTTCACATAGAAATAGGAATACTGGCCTTCAGAGGTAATAGCAAAACCCGACAAGTTCAATAACTTATTCATTCATCTGTGAATGAATAAGTTATAGATTCCTGTAGTAGAGAGTGTTATATGATGTGAGTGAAGTGATGCTTCTGTGTATTATAATTCTGTACATATTTTTTAAATTTTGTAAGTATATCATCAACCTGTCCAGGGACTGCAGGCGGAAATTAGCATTTTTGCTATAACCTGGCACATGACATCTCTTCTTTCTTAGATTAATGGTTTTTGTGCATTGTCCCTGATCAAATAAATAAATATAAATAAATAAATAAAAATAAAAAAAGTGGATCATTGTAATGTGTGATTACAACTAGGGATGGCCCGATACCGATACTGGCATCGGGGATCGGGCCGATACTGTCCTAATATACTCGTACTCGTACTCATAAAAATTCGCCGATACCACGCACCGATACCACGTACATTTTGCAAAACGAAACTGGCCGCCGCGAGTGCTTTGTCGAGGTGAACTGAGGCATAGGAAAGTATAGGCTAATGTCGGCGGTTTGGGCTCATTTCAAGATAAGGGATGATGACAACAGCAAGGCAGACTGTGAGTTATGTTCAGCTAAGGTGTCGAGAGGAGGGAAAGAAAGTACATCGTTTAACACCAGCAATCTAATTAAACATCTGAAGACGCATCATAGATCTGATGGCCGAGCGCGCGCGCGGGCGGTAATGCACTCACTCTGTGTGTGCGGGTTACGGGAGAATAAAACGATTCGCGGGACTCCCGCAAACTAGAAATATCTATGAATAAAACATAAAAACTAAAAGATTTTTATTAATCTCTTGCAGAAAAGCAACAAGAACAACTACAACAAAATAGAAACGATTTACAGGACAGAGTTTCTATTCATAACATGGTTACAGCGTTGAGCGATGTAGCCAATCACAGACATATGTGTTGATTTCTGGAACGCAATGGCCAATCAGAAGCATTTAAGATAGACTCCCCTCACCGCTCAAAACGGACTTTTTTGTTCAGTGCTGAATTCTGCATGCTGGCAAATCCTCTAATTATAACAAACAAAGTGTGGATATTATGAAAGATTGATTGTGCAGTCAGCTTCATTGATAATAACAGAGATGTGTGAGATCGCGATGAACTGTCAGCTTTTAGGATTTATTAAGGGAGCGCACTTTGCGCGCATTCAGTCATGCCAGACCATGCACGCAGTAGCCTGCTTGCTTTTATGTTAAATTAACAGTGGTTTGTGTGTTAATACATTTATTATTTTACTAATTTTTATTTATTTTTTAGACTTGTTAAAACAAGCAGAGAAGAAAATAAAAACAGTCTTCTAACCTGTGTTCTAAAATAGTCGTCTTCTTTTCTGGGAGCCTATTACTTTTGCGGTAGAAATATCGGTATCGGTACTCGGTATCGGCAAGTACACAAATGTAAATACTCGTACTCGTATCGGTTTGAAAAAAAATGGTATCGGGCCATCCCTAATTACAACCCCTTCACACACAGGCAATAAAAAAAGGATTCATTTTAGAAGAAAAACTACAAATAGCACCTTTAACTAGTAGATGTCACCATACTTCCCCAGTTGACTGATTTACAATAAGAATTGATGAAAAGATGCATTACATTTTAGGAAATGTTAAATCAGGTAAATGATATATGAAGAAAAAAACTCTTTGTAAAAAGCTTTAGAATATACAGTAGATAGGAATGAAACTTAAGTTTGGTGCTGCTGAAGTTGAGATGTCTGGTTCAGTGCAGGAGAAAGATATGCTGTGTATTTAAAATTTTGAGACGCAAATAGATAAAGTGTAATAAAATAAACACTTAAATCTGTATTTTGGCTTTCTTTTCACTAGTCTGAAAAGACAGACTCAAAATTAACCAGTGCATGAAAAAGTAATATTCTTTAATTAATAGTTTGTTTGTTTTTTGCATTGTAACATTATTGTTATTATTTTCATGACAATTAAACCACTTTCTCAATTTTCTATTAAAATCATCATGAATTGCATCACTATTTTTTTTATTTCTTGACAGTGGTTTAAAATTGACAAGTAAAGTAAATAAGTAAAAGAAATAACAACAAATGTGGTATTTTGATAAATATGGAGGCCCTAAAGGGACATGGTGATTTTGCATGCCTGATAAAACTTGCCGTTCTCTCACAAAAACTTTCGAGTTGCCCCTAAAAACTTTGCGTTCACTTGCAAAAAAAATCGACTCGCAAAGTTTCTCAGGGGGGAAAACTTTTTTTATTGTGAGGAAAAATCATTTTTCCTCTAGTCTCTTTATTTTCTCCATCACCGTGTCCCTTTAGGGGCTCCTAAGACACAGAATATACTCACTATATTGAATGATTTCCTTCATTCTCTCCCATACTTTAAACTTTAATGAGCCCAGGTGTTTGGCAATATCAAGCAGTGAACCTCTTATCATCTCTGGATCCTGGGGAACCCGCCAGGTTCTGTCAATAAAAGAATACAGAGTTATTCTAGGTCTAGCTCACAGAGAAAATTATACTTACTTGGATGGAAAAGTTTAAATGAAATTGATAACTGAGAAAGGCTTTTTACCTCTTTATAGTGTCCTTATAATTCTACATGAGATTAAAAGAAAAGCAGATTACAAAGAGTGAATTGTATGTGTTGTGTTTTTCTATCATTCCTTTACGAATGTTCACCTTGAGGAATGGTATATCCTGAGATCTCATCTCCTGTTCAATGATTCTTATAGTGTTGCTAAGTGAAGTGATGTCATTCTCCAGATCTTCAATCTTATCATTCATCATCTGCCTCTTCTGATCCTTCTCTTGCTTGAGCATGGAAAGCCTGGATGCTTCCTCGTCTCGCAGAAACTGGTGCAGCGCCTCAAACTCCTCTCCTATCTTCTTCTCTGTGTTCTCGGCCTGACTCTGTAATGAGAAGGTTATCATTTACTTTTTTTTTTGAAGGGGAGAATTCATTGTCTCCTTCTATAATTGTTCCCCTGCATGCTTAAAGCAAATTCGATGTGAAAATACCTTAATATGCTCTATTGTTTCCTCACAAGTGAGTTTTGCTTTTCGGAAGAGCTTCAGCTTTTCCTGAAGTGGTTTCAAAGCATTTTTGAGTTCTTCCTATAAAGAGTGAATAAAACGATAACATAGCAAGATTGAGTAATTACTAGATGTTCCCATACTGAAACACATTTATTCATTTAGAGAGGCCGAAACTTTTTCGAACTTACTACAATGGCTTTACTTTAATGGCTAAAACTTTAAAGCATCCACAAGAAGATTTGTCCCTTTTCACAGCCTGTTTTTCGAGCATATAAAGTTGCAATTATCCAACCATCCATTCATTTTCCAAATTGCTTGTCCTATGTAGAGTTGTGGTGGTGCTGGAGCCTATCCCAGCAATTGCAAGTCCCATCCAAGTACGTTTAGACCACAAAGATGTACTAAAAACTGCAAAGTTTTTTCTTTGTACAGATGACAACATTATTAAAAACCATCCCCATTCACACAGATCCACGAAAACGATTAAAAACTTTGTATTATGCAAGAAAGACTATGCAATTGCGCACATTCTTTTACAGAGCACTCGCGCCAGTCATTCTCGCAGTTAACATGGAGACTATAACGATATCGTTTTCAAAAACTTGCAAAAGTTTGCGTTTTTAGGCCCCCAATACACCGTTGTCATGTAAATGGTCGGCCAAAACGCATAAAAAGTTTTCAGTTTTTAGTTGAAACCGGTGTCGTGTAAACGACCCCTATGTCAAACCTTGCTTAGCTTCCAAAATCTGGCGTGCCCATGCTTGTTTGCAGGGTGCAAATTAGAATGGGGTTTTCACATTAATACAAGATGTTGTGGGGGTCAAAGAAAGCAGTATACCCGTAACATGAAGCTTTACCTGTTAATAAGTAGATACATTTCTAGCTCTGACTGATTTTAAATTATAACCGTAACCCTGAATTGGGTCATACCATTAACATTACCAGAGCACTGAGCAGCTGAATTAGATGCGCTATAAAACCGCACCCATCCAGGGATGTGCATTTATTGCATTATGTGTTTAAAGGGGTCATATAATGGTACATGCACTTTTACAAGTTGATTGTACTGAAATGTGTGTTGGCAGTGTCTGTACACAACCATCATATAATGATAAAAATCCATCCAGTGGTTTTGTTTTAATCTCCTTATATGTTTTCCCCTCCCTCAAATCGAGCCGTTCGAGCCTGTGACGTCACACGCTCGGAAGCCCCTCCCACAATTGTTGATTGACAGGAGCGTTTCAACACAGACCCGCCCTCGCTCATGAGGGAGCTGTCAATCATAGTCTGCGCAGACCGGCGCGGTCATTGTTGATATGCTGGAGCACTGTCTATGAGCAGAATGGCGTCTAAGCGATTGTGGTGTTCTGTTCTTGGGTGTAATAACGAACACAGCAGTCATTTTAATGTTCCTAAATCCGAACGGCTGAAGACGCAGTGGCTGTGTTTGTTTTCGAAGGGAATATTCCCCACGAGCAACGTCAATGCTCTCATGTTTGCGCGAATCATTTCTCACCAGACTGCTTTATAAAGGAGGGTCAGTATAAAGCTGGTTTTGCTAAGAAGCTGCTCATGAAAAAAGGATCGGTACCATCTATTCGTGTTCCTGCTGAACCTCTAGAACAACTGAAGTGAGTGTAACGTTTTATTAAACTTTATATTAATATATTAATCTTTGCAAATTGCATGCTTCACAATGAATGCGTCTAAGGTTTACACTCAGGGTACATTACGGCATGTTTTCTATGTATGACGTTCTCAATATAATTCATAATCCCACGTTTATACTGAACAACGCGTTATGGTTATTGTGTTATTGAGTTAAAAATGGTGTACGCACAGAACAGAGAGGCGGGGTGAGCAAAGCTCATTATCATTTAAAGGCATATGCACTGAAACGGCGTGCTGAAAACAGAGCTGTTTTTGACCAGGTAAAATAAGTGTTTTCTTACAATACTAATGAGAATTTTTAATTAAAGTATATTACAAACTTTTAATTTAGACCCTAAAGAATCATATTAGCTTGTACAAAAATGGCATTATATGACCCCTTTAAAATGCATGTACACAGTTCAGTTGAATGATAAAATTTGGCCTCATTGATGCTGTTTAACTAAATGTATGAAGCAAACTGCTCCCCAACTCTGACCCCCCTAAAAAGGCCATTGTGTAATTCGCATCCTGGTTGTATGGCACTAAGAAAGGTGCAATTATAAGAAATAAAATAAAAATCCATACATTGCAAGTAGAAACTGAAGAATGTGAAGTTGCAATAATTGAAGAAAGTGAATACAATAAGTGAAACAAGATATCATAATATCTTGCTCTCCTTTAAGTGTGAGGTGATAAAAGTGTCATACGTGACCTTAAAAGATTTTTAGATTATTTTGAGGAGATATGAGTGCATAATTTCATCAACTCTAAACTGAGCACATGGGCATCTGGTTTCAGCCCTACCAGAAGGCCTCATCCCTAGCATGAACTTACCACTATTAATAGTCTGTTAATGAACCCAGCCAAGAATCCATAAATAACTATTTCTGAGGTCCTAAAGAGAAAGGACGGTTGTCCAAATGGTTATAATATTCTCATAAAATATTTTTGGTTTCCCCTCTTGTCCTTGAACTGACAGTGCAATCATTGAAGATCTACATTGGAATCAACATTGCCTGTAAACAAATGTCAAACATAGATGCAGACGACCATGAATCTGTATTTAGACATACCTTACAGTCGTGTGAAGCTTCATTTAAGGGATATAACCTGTGACCATGGTGGTTGGCTGACGACTTGCATTTGCAACAAGTGGGTTCCAGATCCTCCAAACAAAAAAGCGTCAAGGTCTCTCCATGCTCCTTGCATGCAAGAGGGTTGTTTTTGCAGCGCTCCAGAAAGCCCTCACAGGTCTTCTCAAGCATGGTGTTGACTATGAGCTCCCCCATAGAGGATGGCTGACAGCAAAGCGGGCATTCGCAAGATCCTCCTCCATTCCACAGGTTCTCAAGGCAAAGTTTGCAAAAGCGATGTCTGCAAAACAGCACTACGGGCTTTTGCAGGATATTTCCACAGATGGGGCACGACAGGTCATCTGCAAGATAGGATTGCATGGTGGCCATTGCTCCTTTGAGCCCTTCATTGCCCAGTTGGGTCACAAGAGGGTACTATACCTCCCCTCCCACATAAGATTGCCCTTGGGAGATATGTCTTCTGATTGGCTCCAGTATTCACTCAGAGTTTACATCACCGAGTGAGATCTTGGCTGGTACATGATATCTTCTGATGAATGCCTGAACATCACATTATGTAACATCAAGCTCCTGGAGAGCGATTTGACCCTGGCACTGACGCAAGAGGAAATATGTTAAGATTTTCTCATTCCATTCGAGAAGATGTGTGCCTCCTCTTAAAAATACAATTAAAAGGCAGGACAAATAAACAGAAAACTGTCCAGAAGCTTGGACTATGGAAGCGACCTTAGAAAAACATTAATTCAGTCCTGTGAAAAAGTTTATGCCCCCATCTGATTGTCAGTATTTTTGCATATTTCACACGTAATGTCTTCAGATCTTTAACCAAGACCTTTCCACGAGCCTTGGACAATAACACATGGACAACAACACAATGAGATGAATCTTTCATGCATTCATTAAAGAAAGCACTATTCGTTCAACACTATTCTAAGTTAATGCTGCTAATGGAGGTAACCAATATCTGGTTGCATCCACATTAGCAGCAATATCTGCAACCAAATGTTTCCTGTAGTTATTTATATGGAGGAATTTTGGCCCACTCCTCCTTGCAGAATTGCTTCAGCTCAGTGTTCAAGCATGAACTGTGTGTTTCAGATCCTGCCACGGCATTTCATTAGGGTTTAGGTCTAGACTGTGACTAGACCATCTCAAAAATTTTAGGGATCATTTTCTTAAGGGGGTTATTATTTTGGAGCATGACCCCGCTGGGCTTTAGCGTTAGTTTACAGACAGATTATTCTCCTGGAAAATTCTCATAAGTCATAGTTTTTTTCAGTTCTTTCTGGGCACGATGTTTAGGTCCTGATGCCTCAAAAACTATCACACAACTACCGCCGTTTTTGACTGGCAATTTTTATAAAAAGCAGAGGCTTGAAGATCTTTAGAAAGTTTTTTGTGACTAAGAGATGAACTATTCCAAGCCGTATTCATTTGGATATGACTCTGATTGTGCTTTAGTGGAGCCTTCAAAGACTTATGGTGTGTTTACTGTACTGAAAACGGAAACTTCTTTTTTTTTTTGCTTTTTACACGTACAGACGACAAAATTATCCCTGTCCATGAGGATCCGCGAAAACGGCTAAAAATGCTATATTATTCATGCCAGGCCAGTATTTGGAAAAAAAACACTACATGCCTATAGACTGAACATGTAAAGCGCATGCGCATGACGTCACTGTTTTTAAAAAAAAATCACGTTTTTGTAATTTACACGGAGGCGATAACAATATCGTTTTCAAAAATGTCAGTGTTGTGTAAAAACAGCCCCTTAGAAATGGCTTTGTAACTTTTTCACCATCTATATACTCCTACAATCCATAATGAAATCTGACCATATACAATGTTAATGTGCACAAACTTCTTTTTCATAGAACTGTATTTACCACTAAAATATGTATAAAGACAGTCCCTTCAGACAATGTAATACGATTGCTGATGGTTGTTGACATACTGAGAGGGGTGGGCTGAAGGCGTCCTAAATTTGTTTAGCTAATTAAAAGATCAGGTTACACAAGATAATTCATTTTCATTACTGGTTATTTTCATGCATTGCTCTGCAGGGTATGCTTGAATATGATGCCGTTTTTATTACATCTCTATCATTGAGCTGTGCTGGATTTAATACCTTTATTCTTTGCTCCCTGCACTTTCTGAGACGTGATCCAGTGGCCTCTTGTCTGCAGAAGGGACACTGCGTCTCCCAAAACTGCTGACAGCAAATTTCACAGAAGCTGCGCCCGCATGAAATACAGCAGAGGACCACTGGAATGCTGAACACCTCCCCACACGCTGAACAACAAGGGTCTTCCTCTAAGAGCAGTGAATTAACCTCCATTTTCTCTCTAGATATGAGCTGAACTGGTTGTGTCTTGAGTCCTAACCGAGATAAAAATACCGCTGCTCAGTACGTGTCCCTCATTCTCCAGACACTTGACCTTTAGACTTGACATCTGTATGTGAACGATCGCGGTAACGCTTCCTTTTACAGTCCTGTTACCCATGTACTTACTATGTACTTATTATAGTAATTATAATTACTGGGTAATAACTAGGTACTAACCCTGAACCTACCCCTAAACCTACCCCTAACCCATGTACTTACCTTATATTAGCCAGTACTTTCTAGGTAAGTACACTGTAAGTACACGTAAGTACTGTACAGTAAAAGGAAGAGTTACCACGATCGCTATATTGAAAACACGTGACATGCAGAAGCTGTTTGTATATTGATATCTGATGTAAAGACAGCATTTGTTGTTGTTATTAATAATTTTGATTATGATGTGCTTTGGGAGCACATTTGTTGTAGTCCTCAGAGCAACATTTTGATGGACAATATATTAAACATCATCATGCTGAGTCATGAGCTCAATTTGTGTACCCGTTGTAGAGAAGATGAGCATATCTGTATGAATTCTGATAATGCAGAAGACAATCAATCTTGCCATGCTACTCGTATATTCATTGAAGAGCTGCAGATAAATAGAGGACAGCCAATTTGGCTTTTCACAGTTCTGGGAGACACACAAAACTCTCAAGAGTTTTGTGTGTCTCCCAGAACTGTGAAAAGCCAGATTTGTAAAAAACGCACCAACATGAGAGGCACTGGGACATTGAAAACCTCTTCCCATTTCCTTGCCATCTTTCTAGGTACTTGTGGAAAAAAAAAATGCTGTAGTACAATAGACCTTTTTTTGCCCTTTAAATTTTGTTGAAATTCTAATGTGAACACACCTTTAGGGCCAGGTTCACTAAGTAGTCCTTGGACCAAGACCCAAAATTTCACGTATTGGTACAATCTGGGTGGCCAAATTCTAGTTGCGATTTTTTACATCCTATGCACCCCTAGATAATGTTTTGACATGATAACCCTTGCCAACTGGCAGCTTAGTAGTGGTTATGACGACTTGAAGTGACTGACCCCTGTCAGCGGAAAAAATGGCAAAAGTACCTTCCATGGAAATAATCTGGTTCATCCAGTTGATAATTCATCAAGTGGTTCATTCGTCAAGAAATAAAGTAGGTTCCAAATTAGTGAAATAATGAGATTAAGGCAATAATTCCAAAATATATGGTTAAAAATGGCTAAATTTGGGAGTATTAGCATGTAAAACCGCAATACCACAATATCATGAAAGAGCATTGAGACGATGATTGATGAGCCTGTCAAAGATTAGAACAACCACAATGTTTAATGTATGGTGAAAACAACAGTCATTACAAAATCATCACAAAATTTCAATTAAAAGTACTAGTCATCATCGTCTTCGGTCTCCTCCTCACAAGGTTGATTAGTACAAGTTTGCAGCTTGCACGGGTTGGTGCACCTCAGGCTGTTGGCGAGGCACGTGCAATCATGTAGCTTGCAGGATAGTAGCTGCAGGACGGCATCAGGTGATGGGGCGCCTCGCATCCACTGGATTTTCAGCTGCCCGTCTTCATCTGTGTTCCACCCATGCTCCTCGGGACTTGGCACAGCCGGCATGGCTTGTAGAGACCGCCTCCAGTTAGCAGCCTGGTAGTTGGCTTGGATGGCATGCATGAGGAGCAAATCTTCGCATGGAGGAAGCTGTCTGGATTCACCCTCTCCACGCCTGACACAGAATAGTTGGTAGCGAAGAGCGTTGATCTCTGCAGTGCTGGTTGATGGCACATACATCTTACAGGTGGTTCCCTGCAGCTTCTCGAACAGCTCATCAGACACAGCCCATGACCGACCAAGCTCCAGGAAGGCTTCTCGGCAATCATCCTGTGATTTCATCTGTTTCAGGGCACCCACTTTGCCACGTCCCGCAAATGCACTAACAGTGTTGCAGCCAGTGAAGGCATGCAATGCCGAGCAGGGCATCTGCCGAACTGCTGCCGAGAGACTGGCACAGCTGGTCAATGTCAATGTACCTCATTCTGTTCTGGGTGCCGCTCTTCTGGAACAGTGGGCATGGGATGTCTCTGCTGAAGGCCACACCTAGAACCAGAACATCTGTGTCGTCAGCCATGATGATCACCGCTTTGTAGCCTGACTCTGCTGCTTGAAGAGCATACAAAAGCATGCTCGTATCCGCTTCCTCCTGTGATGATTTGAGCTCTGTTGCCTCTTCCCAGTGCTCTTTATCCAGCTTGAAGCAGTCTTCACCACATGTGAGGTACAGAGTCTTGTCTTGGAGCTTCTCTCTGTGTTTGGGCTCTTTCCATTCTTCAACCAAGTAGGCGATCAGGCTTGTCTTGTTGGTAGCACTGGAGAGTAGTCTCCTCCACTGCTTGATCTTGTGGCCTGACACAATGTTCTTGAAATTAATTTCTGTGTCTGTGCCTCTCAGCATCTTTGATTGACATGTCCTTGTACACATCAAAGACAACATCTATACGCTGGCTCTTCCCCCCTTCGTGCAGCACCTTGTCCAGAGCTGAGACAGCCAACTGCGCAAAGGTCTTGTCTTGGCCCTTCAGTTTCTGTAACAGGCTCATTCCGTCAATGACGGTTGTTGATGGCTCTGGGATTTCCTCAGCTGGGGAAACGCTCTTCTCCAACTCTCTGGCCAAAGCTGCCTTATTGGTCTTGCATAGAGACCCATCCCCATTAGCTAGGGCCCAAGGCAGATGTCCCAGAGGATGAGCCAAGACGTCACTCATGTGTAGTTGTCGGCTCTGTGCCACCAAGATCATGTGACCAAAGAGATTTCTGTCGGCCTTCAAGACTACCTGTTTGGCTTGCTCCTGGCTGTGTTGCTTCTTCTTGATCTCTGAGAATGTTTTCATCTTTTTCTTGGTCATCGTGTCGTAGAAAAGTTTCACTCTTGTTTTTTTTTTGGTAAGCCTCTTTTCCAATCTTCTTGGCCTCAAGTAGGTCATTTGCCACATCAGGTGGGGCTACAGTTGCAGTTGACAGACTTGACAAACTCTTCTTGTTCTGGACTGACTAGATTCAATTTCTGCCAGCAAGAGATCAACGATGGACTGGACATCTGCCTCATCTCTTCTGATCCTGGGCGGCTGTAGGTCTGGATGATTCAGCTGAGAATCACCCCGACCGACCATCTCCCTCAGCTTTCTTAGGAATGCGCTGCGGTACTCTGCTGTCAGGTAGTACTTCGAGACAGCTCCGGGCTTGAGCCTGAAGCCCTTTGTTCCTCCTACTGTCTGCGTGGACTTACGTGTTGCTGAACTGCATCCACTGGAAGAAACAACTGAACATAGCATCACAAAATATGTGAGTGTTGGTGAAGGCCTGTCGGTGTGCAAGTTTGTGCACAAAGCTAAAATACACACAATGTAACATGGATCCAATGTCCGCGACTGTTTGCCGAATGACTGTGAGCTGCCCGGTAGTTAATCTTTTAGATTGACATCGGAGCTGTGTGTTTATTTTGTGGTTGGAAAACGGCAATATAATAGCAATGAAGATTGTGACCAAGATAAACACAGATTTTGGAAATAAAATGGGGTTTCTGGGCATATGTGTTAATCTCTACCTTAAATTCAACGTTTCTTATTCAAATATATTATACAAAAATTAAGAACAAATCGTCCGAACATTTTATGACTTTCCAATAGTAGACAGTGTAGAGTTGAGAATACATGTGTTATTTTTCTTTTCTTTTATATTTTTTACATCTCAAAACAAAAAAATATAAGTGTGAATTCAAAGATATCGACTTTATTATGCCTATTAATATTTACAAAATATTTTAGTTTGCTTGGGATTAATATTAGATCACTGTTATTACGGTATTGGACGTTTGTGTATTTTTCAAAAATAATTCTAATACATAAAAGTTGGAAAATTACTAATTATAAAAAAGTATAAAAAGCTGGGCCTGTGAAAAGGTTATCATATTATAATTAACTTCGATTAACCCCATAAACAATTTAGTATAGGTAAGGTTTTGCCCACCCAGATGGTACCAATATCTGGTCTGGCCCATGGACTAAAGAGACCACAAACCCCTTTTTTGGCATTAAAAAACTACCTTATTGCATATGCAGCAAAAGTTTCCCTTTCAGACACAAAAGGGTATTTAAATAAGGGTACGTTTACACGACAATGATATACTAAAAACAGGAACATTTTTCCTTCGCATTTTTCGCGTCCAGACGACACCATTGTCAAAACGTTCCCCCCGTTCACACGGATCTGCGAAAACGAATACAAACGCTGCATTCTGCTGCCAGGCCAGTAGTTGGCGATGCCACTCTAAAGAAACACTACGAGCCATAGACTGAACACGTAATACTCATGCGCATAACATCACCGTTTTCATAAATTCACGTTTTTGTAGTTTACACGGAGAAGATTACTGTATTGTTTTTAAAAACTTGCACTTTTTAACCTGTTTTCAAAAGTTTGAAAAGTTCATTTACATGCCGTTGTCGTGAAAATGAATGACCAAAACGGAGAAAAAAAAAGTTTTACAGTTTTTAGTTTTCAGGCAATGATTTTGTAGGCATCATTTGAGAACAATTTTCTGATTTCAGACAGACTACTGAGGCAGTGTAATAGTTTAATGATCTACATCAAAATAGAGTGAGCTTTAGTGATAACTAAGCAAATATTGAATTACTACAATAGTTAGTTCTTGCTGAAGCTCAAACGTGCTGCGTGACACAAGAATAAACCTCATTGGTCAACGGAGGAACAAAAAGCTCTCAGATTTCATTAAAATATCTTCATTTGTGTTCCGAAGATGAACAGAAGTCGAGATGGAACGACACGAGGGTGAGTAAATGATGACAGAATTTTTATTTTTGGGTGAACTATAACTATAACCTTTAACGGTAGTTCTGAAGTGCATATATCGCGCCAACTCACTAGTACACATAATGACACGCGATATGTTTTGATAAATAAAACGTTATTAAATTATATTTCAACATAAACACTTCGTTAGACTGGTACTTAACACAATCTAGCCTACATTCTAAGTAATTTCCTTTAAAAAAATGAATGTTGCAGGTATTAGTAAAAATCTAATTATTTATGATAATGTACTTTAAATAACATTAAAAATACAGTAGTGACGTTGTTGACAATAAGCCTGTTGTCATGTGTAGTGAGCTAGGGTCCTTGCTATCTTTACCAGTGCCCGAATTTGCATATGTGATATAACGATATAACGATTCGGGAGCCAGGGAGCTGATTGACATTGATTAGCTTGTTCAAGTGTTTTTGATTAGGGTTGGAGCTAAACTCTGTAGGAAAGTGGCCCTCCAGGACCGAAGTTGCCCATCCCTGCTGTGGGGGCCTGGAGACTCATCAGAACCATCAAAACAAGGGCTGTGTCCGAAATCTCTCTCTATACCCTCCTCATTCAGGGCTGCCGGTTTTGAATAGCCTAAAGACTAAAATGCATTATTGAGCTGTTTTAACTGAAATCAACCTTGCATTAAAACATGTCAGTGCCATTGTTTTGTCTCAAGATGCACACCAGTAGGCTAAGGACTTTTTTTTATAAAAGCTATTTAAATATTAAATTGAACTAAGGCCTAATCCTGGCTTAATCTAAGCCATGTCTGCAGAATGTGCAGGGTTTTAAAATCCTTACATTACTGCATTATATTGACACCCAGTGGTCATAATGCTGCATTATTAATATGTTGTATCTTTTGTGATGATAAACTAAAAATGTGTCTCCTGCCATGTTTGTAGTTCTCGAGCGAAATGCTACAAATTCCTCCGTATTGCCAGAATTGTGGGCAATGTTAGCAGAAAAAAAAGCATCTGCATTTCCAAAAAGTGGAAATAGTCCATCATCAGGGTGTATTTCGAAAGCTCATGTCAGCATTCTATGATTTGGGACACATTAAGCTTATGTCGGAAACTGTTTAGGGCAGATCAGAGCTATATAGAGATAATGGCTCCTAGGCAGTATAAGACACTGGCGGAGCTAGGGGGTGGCCGTGGACACCCTTGGTCTAAGCTTGGCCACCCCTCTCACAACTGCTGTTTCTGTCTCTTTTTTTTATTGACAATTTTTTAAAACGCAGAACCGTCTCTTTAAGACCACAAAAAACGTGAGACTTTTCAGACGCGCAGTCCAGACTGGTTGCTGGCCCTTGCCTGGCCACCCCTATGAAAAAAATCCTGGCTCCGCCACGAAATGCAGGGAAAGTCTGTTAGGTGATTCTGGTGATTCCCTCTTTCCAACACAGGGAACTCCTCCACATAAACCGGAAGCTAACGATACTTTGAGGCAAGATAAAAGCCGAGGTCTCCATGCTTACACTTTATATCCGGGGGGTTTTCACAGTTGCACACATAATGAAATTGTTTTTTTCGGTGACTAACCTTACGTTTATTTAGCCAGTTTTTTCCTCGCATTGCTAACAAAAAAATCGCGACTATTAAAATGTCAAAATCTCTATCGTTTCGTTTGCAACTAAGCTCCATAATGGAGATAACGACTAAAACGGCAATAGAAGAAATATGCAAAATTGTAGACAGCGATTTTGCGTTTTTACGACAAGAACTGTCTCGGGTCATGAGTGAAAACACAGTACTTAAAGACGAAATGTTCTGTCTTGGGAGCGAAAGGCAAAGCGAAAGCACGCGCATCACAAAGGGAGCGCGCTCTGGCTCCAAAACATATCGCTCCATTTGTGTTCAAACAGAAGATGGTAAATATAACCTCTGCTTAAAACAGTTGTTTTGATGTGCACTACTATGATTATAATGCATATTTTACTCCTGATAGGACCAGAGCCCTCCATCAAAGGGATATTTGGAAAGGAGTGGTGTTCCAGTTTGTGGGATCGGAGGAAGGAGTCCAGAGAAGATGAGCTGGCGATCGATGTTGACCTGTACCCCGTTTCGCCTTATAAGGTTCGTTTAATTTAGGTTCCCAAAAATGAAACTTGTTTCAAAAGCCAACAGTTACGAGGCTGACATGCTCTTAAAGTTTGGAAAGAAAGGGAAGTTGTAAAATAAAGTTGAAAATGCAAGAACAAGACTGTTTTAAAGCGGTTTCTGTCACTTTCAAAAGGGTGCATTACACATGACACTGCATAATACATAATGTAATCAAAATGTTACTTTAACCATTTCTATGGTCCCATGAACTTGACATGGTACAATAGAGAATGAGCTCAATCCTATTGCACCATCTGCCCAATTTGAGTTTTGTTTCATAGTTGATATGGTGCGATGAATATAGAAATTACAATTCAATTTGTAAATACTGTACTATTTAATTTTTTATGGACCCATGAACTTGATTTCAATAGCTTTGTTTTGCACATTTTCAAGGTTGTGCTAAATATGACACTGGCATCTTGTACGCATTGCAATCCTCTATCAAAATGCTAATTCTGAATGATTTGAACTGTAAATGACAGAAACACAGACTTGGGCGATTTCTTTTTTTTTTTTGGTGGGCAAATAAAACGCAAATTAATCCTGCGTAAATAAAATGGAAAAACAAAATGTTGGTTTACATGATCTGCTTATTTTAACAGCACGAAGAAAAAGACCCCTCCAAACTGGTCTTAATCAAAGAGGAGAGTTTTGAAGTGGACGCTTATCCCAGTTGTACAGGTAATGTTCTAGATTTTTACAGATCTTTAATTAGGGGCCATTTACATGACAATGTTTTCAACAAAAACCTGAACTTTTTATGCGTTTTGGCAGTTCATTTACACGACAATGGTGTTTTTGGAGCCTGAAAACAGGATTGAAAGTGCAAGTTTTTGAAAATTTATACCATTATCATCTCCGTGTAAACTACAAAACTTCGAATTTGTGAAAACATAATAATCGCATGAGTTAATTTTGACAGCCCTAGTTTCTTTACAAAGTGACATCGCCAACTACTGGCCTGGCAGCATAATACAATGTTTTTAGCCGTTTTTCGCGGATCCGTGACTGTGTGAAAAATGCGAAGGAAAAACGTTTCTGTATTTTGTACATTGTTGTCGTGTAAACATATCGTCAGTCAGGTGTAATTATTTTGTTTTATGTTGCACAGAATGATTTGATTTGAACTATTTTCAATACTCCAACAGGGAAAACGCCCCATATTTCAAGAGGACAGCTGCCATCTTCTGCATATGAGCCCTCAGCAGCCTCCAAAAATTTCAATGACCACTTTGTGTCTGGTGAATTTTCTGGGATATCGGAAAAACAAAACACGTCCTCCGATTCGACTGCCAAACACTCTACAAGAACTGCTATTGATGACACTGTCGACCAATTAATAGCACCAATAGACGATCCATTGGATGTTGATGGTCACTGTTTCCTCAACAGGTTTTCAGTAGAGCACAATGACCAGTTTCCCTCCCAATCCAGGGAGGACGGAGAAGCACAGGAAATATGCATGGATGCCGCAACCACTACAGAACACTGCGAAAAGAGATTTAAGGTACAGAAACCGCCAAACAACTTCAGTTGCTTTGACGGCGGTAGGGTGTTTGTTCGCCAAAATGCTGCCAGAAACCGTCTCAGAAAACATCGGTTCGCAAAGCTGAAACAAAATGAAAAGTTTCGTTGTGAGGTCTGCGGGAGATGTTTTCATTCGAACACCAATCTCATGGTTCACTATGTAGTTCACACAGGGGAAAGGCCCTATAAATGCAGTTTTTGTGGAAAAGGGTTCTCCCAGAAGGGAAATTTACAAACCCATGAACGCATCCACAGAGGAGAAAGACCTTTTAGCTGCGTCACCTGCGGGAGGAGTTTCACCCAGAAAGTCTGCCTAAGTAATCACGAACGCATCCACAGAGGAGAAAGACCTTTTACTTGTGTAACCTGCGGAAAGGGTTTCACACAGAAAGTCACCCTACAACAACACCTCTCTGTCCATGACCAAACAGCTAAACCGGTGAGGAAGAACCCAAGGAAAAGTTACCGTGGTATAAAATATAGCTTTATGTAGCACTCTTTTCCTCAATTTGAGATCGCAGTAGCAGTGTGAAATCTAAGTTTGGGAAGAATATGAACTCTGGAAGTGTGAGGTTGCAGCGCCACCTTAACAAGATTGTCTGTATTGCTGTAGGTTGTAGAAGAAATATATAGTCAGGTATGGCTGTGTGGTAACGTTGTTGTGTTACTTGCCGGACAAAAGTTTGGAATAAATAAAGACTTTTTTCATCTTTTAAAGGGATAGTTCACTTTGAAATTAAGTTTTGATATGTTTTAGCTTACCTCAAGGGCATCCAAGATGTAGGTGTCTTTGTTTCCGCAGTATTTTCAATTTTGATATTTTTAGGTCAAACCGTTCTTGTCTGTCAGTCATATAATGCAGGTCTATGGTCACCACCTCAAAGAGCATGCACAGAGAAGTCCAAATTAAACATGATTTAATGACTCGTAAATGTAAGTACACATTGATGGCCTAAGACACGAAACGAGCAGTTTGTGTGAGAAAACGAACAGTATTTATATCGTTTTTACCTCTTGTAACGCACAGACCGAAGCGCCCGCGCCCTCAGATCACTTGGACGTGGCTGTGGTTACAAGAGGTAAAAACTATATAAATACTGTTCGTTTTCTCACACAAACTGCTCGTTTCGTGTCTTAGGCCATCAATGTGTACTTACATTTACGAGTCATTAAATCATGTTTAATTTGTGCATGCTCTTTGAGGTGGTGACCATAGACCTGCATTATATGACTGACAGACAAGAACGGTTTGACCTAAAAATATCAAAATTGAAACTACTGTGGACACAGACACCTACATCTCGGATGCCCTTGAGGTAAGCTAAAACATATCAAAAATTAATTTCACAGTGAACTATCCCTTTAAGTCTCTCATGCTTACCAAGGCTGCATTTATTTTATATTAGTGATAATGATATTTTTTTGATCAAATTATTTTTGATCAAATAAATTGCAGCCTTGGTGAGAAAAGAGACTAAAAACATTTTAAAAATCTGTATTATTCCAAACTTTTGACCGGTAGTGTATAGCCCAGATTAAAGATGACCAGAGGTAAGCATCCCTGTTTAGGACTTTAGGCTTCTTTAAAATATGATCATAATGTATGTCAGTTTAGGGGCTTTAGTGTATAGAAACCAGTAACAATACTTTATCTTTACTGATTGGAAACTGTGTGATGTCAGTAGTATGTACTATGTGCAATGCTTGTACAAGTTTGAGTTGATTGTTCAAGGCTAGATTGCACGTCTAATCAAACAACCATTACTATGTGTATTTCCATCCATGCTGGAGTACGAATAAAAAAGTATTTTGCATGATTTCACTCGTTTTAAGTCAAGTTTATTTGTTCATTTCTTTTTTTTTTAACAATACACACATCTAGATGCTTCTGTATAACACGATTCCAAACAATGTTAAAGGACCTACATTTTCGTGGACAAACATTGGACATATTTCCAATTCGTTAATGTTTCATATGGCAGATACAGATATCATTCAGTTTAGTCTAACCAAAGCACTGGTGTGTATTGAAACCCTGTTTGTACGCATAGCTTTTCCCACACTCTGAGCAGCTATACGGCTTTTCTCCGGTGTGGCTTCGGAGGTGAACGTTTAGAGAACTCTTTTGAGCGAAACTCTTTCCACACTCCATGCACGCGTACGGCCTCTCGCCAGAATGAGTGCGCTGGTGTATTCTGAGGTACGTTTTTTGAGCGAATCTTTTACCACAAACTGTACAGACAAAAGGTTTTTCTCCGGAGTGTGTTCGCATGTGTGCTTTCAGGTAGGTTAACTTGTTGAAGTTTCTTCGACAGAATACACACTCGAACCTTTTCTCTTCTGAAATATTTGTGTGGTTGTGTGTACTGTGGAAATTTTGCTCTGCTGTACAGTCCCCATGTGTCGAAATCGTTCCTTCAAGAGCTTGTTCTTCGGCTTGCGGCTGTTGCACGTTCGATTGGACTTGCTCATCTGAAGGTACGGTGTATGTAATAAAATCCTCAGAGCTCTGGGCAACACAGCTCTCATCACTGGTCATTGCTGGACCTGCAATTCAATAAACGACACATGAACATCTGAATATAATAAGAGTTAATAATAGCAGCTGTTCTCAAGTTCTTTCTCCACAAACCTCTCAAACCGCTCCTTTGGTCTGCCTCACGTTTACTTTTCCTAGAGCAATCGTCAAATGTCTCCTCCTTGATCATGATCATATCTGGTTCATCATCCAGCAAACTTACTGGCTAAAAGATGGAAATTAACAAGAGAAGTAGTTAAGTGTATTCTGACATTGCATCATGTACATCTAAGGCAGTACGTGAGACCAACCTCTTCTGTCATGGTTGAAGAGTCCAGGTGTGTGTCGTCCTCCTGCTCACCAACATTTGACTCCTGGTGTCTCCAGAGGTTCATGCACCATTCCTTACCGAAGACATTGTCAACTCCGGCGCGACGTCCAGACTCTGTAGGAAATGCATTGTTTTTCTGGTCAAGTCACATGTGTAAGCAGCCTCTGATTACCAAAGCAAGAAATCCACTGGTGCAATAAAATGCAAAGTCAATATCAACTTTGCTGAATGACACTACTCAATGACTAGACACTACAAATAAATAATAAAGTTAAAGACTTGAGGGTTTTTAGGGTAATTGTAGGGTTAATATGGGCGATATTCAAATTAATAATGGACAATATAAAAACAACCTGGAATTGTTGTGTCTTTTAAGCTGAAACAAATAGTATGAATAAAAAGCTAAGGAATGAGTAAATGGATTCAGCCTTGTAATGAAAAAAAACATTTTCAGCGAAACCGTTGAGTGAATAATTCCCTGACTCTGTTCGAAGTAGGTCATTTGTCGCCATCTACTGCCGTAACGATGTACCCAGAAGAAAGAGTGAGAATTAATCATTTTGGTGAATGGAGTCAAAAGATTCTGCTCACTGAAATCGGAGAATTGACTAAAGGCCCCGATATACTCGTGCCGAAGTTCTTTTTCGTTCTTCACTTAGAGGTAAATCGAATTTCGAAATACATGAGCAGCGGTATACTGTTAGCGAACATCCAACGTCACCCACACTGCTGAGGGCGGCGATTAGAAGAATATTTAAATGTGTGCTGCACACTTTTCTCTCAATAACAAAATAAACGCACAACAAAATAGAGAAACCAGAAAGTGTTTTAATAAAGAATATCTGCACATTTACACAACAACGATGTACTAAGTGTTTTTTTTCCTTTGCGTTTTTCGCGTACAGACAACAACGTTTTCAAAATGAGCCTAAACGACTGAAAATGCTGTATTATTCATGCAAGTAGTGGCATGTCACTTTGTAAAGAAAAACATTACGTTTTTGTAGTTTTGAAGACGATAACGGGAACGTTTACACACACCGTTTTCAACTATTTAACTGAAAACTGTTTAAGCGTTTATAAGCCATTCATTTACACTACAACGGCGTTTTGGGGGCGTGAAAACGCAAACTTTTGAAAACGGATTTCAAAGGGCAAGTTCTTAAAATAATACTATTATGGTCTCTGGGTAAACTACAAAAATGTGACTTTGTGAAACGGTGACGCCATGCGCATGCGTATCACGTGTTCAGTCTATCGGCGCATATTGATTCTTTAAAAAGTGACACGAATAATACAGCGTTTTTAATCGGTCTCGTGGATCCGTGTGATCGGGGATCGTTTTGATAACGCTGTCCTCTGTACGCGAACAAAGCAAAGGAAAAACTTCCTGTTTTTAGTACATTGTTGTCATTTAAACGTACCCTAAGGCTCATCTATTGTTCAAGGGCACAATCGCGGTATAGGGAACGCCCACTGCAGGCTTTGAATCAGCCTAGAAATCAGATGTACGTTATATGTCCATGTTTGGGATGCAAAATCACAGAGTCATGTATCGTGCATAAGTAAATCACCTCGAAGTCCCGGATGGCTGAATGGAGCTTCTGTCCCCTTCATCTTTCCAGCGGGTTTCCGAGCAGACTGAAGTTCGCTCTCCAGAAAATGACATTTCTTTTTCAGAGATTCATTTTCGTTTGTACATCGTGAAATCTCTAATCGCAGCAACAAAGAATTTTCCTCGAAAAGTTTGCCTATTTCAACAACAGCTGTTTTCGCCAACATTTCCATTATGGATGTTATCTGCGTCTGCAAATCGGCAGTATTCATGATTTCCATCGTTTACTGGACCATTTATCAGTGATGTTTATTATAAACACCCGTCCTTCGATCTGACAGCCACCGCTATAGCCTTTATGTAGAGCTACTTTTATTTCTCAGCAAGCAATGGCCCTGTATGATTCAATATTTCTGAGGATAGAATTATAGCATATCTAGCATCTTGCAGAACAGGGTCACGTGATGAATTACCGTATACCACCGTGTAGAGCGCGCACAACTGTAACCTTCTGGTTGGCCGCCTCCAAAACGGGTTTGCCAGTACTAGTAACGTTACCTTGACAATTGTTGCTATTCAATCCCTGTGCGGTTAGATTGCTGTAGGTGGAATTTTACCAAAGATGGTAAAATGTTGTTGCAGGCGCACTCTGAAGAAGCATTCACCCTTGATCCCACTATGAATTGTGAATGGTAGCCAGGGCGTTGCTGGGGTGTTCTGATTGCTTCCTGGTTCACGTCAAACGAGCCCACCCGACTCTCTTGTATTCTGGTTCCTAGATTTGATCTCAGTCAGTCACTTCTTTCTATCTATCCCAATTTCTCGTCTGTGTAAAGCAAATAATAAGCCCATAGCTTTTACAACATTTTATGGAACACAAATGTTTTATGGTGGATGTTTCACATTACTAGGAATACAGATTTAAAATTAGGCACTGTTTTACTGGGTCCATGTGCAGAACATCTTCCATAGGTTTATTTTTTTTCTCATCATCTTCCATAGTTTTATTTACAAACCGTCTCTGTAAATTTAATTGCACTTGGTCATCCAAAGGTACACTGTTAAGACTTTTCAGTTTTTACCATCAAGTT